AAAACAGACATCCGCGTATGCATCTTCTGTTGTCTATGAACGTTGTTAACAGTTTTGTTTAGAAGACTTACTAAGTTTTTAATTACTTGTTTAGTTTTTAGAATGAAACTGCGAAAACAGATTATTTACTTTGTGACTTTAGGCCATTTTAAAAGAGCGCAAAAAAGAATACGCACAACTGTTAAAGCGGATAAAGTGCCTAAAGGAGCTGGAGATCGTTCGTTGCAAACTGGAAGCGCAAAGACATATCGAAGTAAGTTTAAAGTTTACACTTACATCAAGATGAGACTAGTATCTCTAAAACTTAGGGACGTACGTAAGTCTGTCATACGTTGATTTAGGAAAGTAAGGCGAAGGGAATTACCGCCGAGAAGATCAGCGACGATACACCAGAAAAGGCAGCGATTTACAAGTGGCGATGGGAAAGGAAGCGATAATTTGCCGAAATATGTCAAGGCAGTAATTACCTGTCGTGTATTATAACTTTTATACACATGAACTGTAAGGCTTAAAGTTAAAGTTCAAACAGTAGTGGCACCTGTTTATTGATTACAACTGCAAAAAGACAAAACACTGGTAAACGATTTCTTCGGCGATGGCAACGACATAGCTTTGTAGTTATTTTCGTTGTTTCAGATGTTGTTTCGCCAATTTCATCTTACGTTTTTTAATATGTTTCGGTATTTTGTTTTCTCTCTGCTGTCGCTGCATTTCTTTCACAGCTTTCTTCCTCTCCTAAAAGAGATCAGTTATAATCAGTTAAACTGGAAATGTACAAAAAGTGTACTTTAAACAGCGCAAGACACGGTTTATTTATACATTAAGGCAAGTAAATTGGGCCAGTCAAATCACTGACCACTACCAATGTTTTGTGCTTTATTCAAGGTAGAATGTGGATTGTCTTTTGAAGTCATTTCTGTCTTCGTAGATTTTCTAAAGTTTCTGCATCTCTTAGCGCTGTGTAAAAATAAACCGTTTTGTGCTGTTTTCAATATGGCCACCAACGCACGAATAGAATACTTAAACTTAAGTGGTCGATATCATTGTACCTAAGGATTAAAAAACAGCTATTTGTGCTAGCATGTGCGTTGTTTTTATCCACGCAACCCAGCTACTGCTTAAGTAGCACGGGGCCTTGGCTTTCTTTACCGCACCCCTTCTAAAGTTTGTAGAAACAAGGGAACGGCAAGACTTTGCCGTACAATCTGCTATAACGATTTCTGTATGAGTCAACTCTGTTACTCTCAACTGCTGGCGTAAATCACCTATAGTTCATTTTAAATGAACAACATAAAAATCAAGGTCGTGCGGTGAATGTCAATCACCACTTACAGAACAGGCTGATTTCCCACCTACTACTGATTCATGCGTAGGATCGGTAAAGCCAATTTAATTTTTTTGCCAATCAAAGGATAGCGTCTCAGTTCATGCACTTATTGCTACTTTTACTTGCATAACGAGAGCTAGGGAAGCAGGATGAATTCAGAATTAAGCTGATGACTTGCAGTTGGCTAAGTAAAAAAATGCTAGTACGTACTGTACCACTGAGAGGTAGAAGTTGTGGCAACTTTTCTTCCTTACCGAAGAGCTTAAAGTTTTCAAAGGACATCAAAACACGCTTTTCGATAATCTAATAAAAATTCATCCTCCTTAACAATGGTATCGCTAGTCTCTGAGATCGTCCCTCTGATTGTTGGTAACAGTACTAATTTCTACAGTTAAAAGTATCGACTGGAATTCATTCTTGAAAAATTCAATGTATTCGGTCATCGAACTGCTGTTCTTACACATACATTTCGAATCGAAAACTGGCGAAGTCAGTAAGGAACAGAAATGAACGTTAGTCACCGTTGGAATGTCGCTGTTCCTTCATTTTCATGATTCGGCCATTTTAGCACCCTTCATTTTATGAAGTTAACCAGTGCGGTGCTGATCTCCGTTTCTACGCCAATGGCCAGGAGAACCATATTTTTAAGGCA